TGAACAGAATAATATTCTCGTGACTCAATGCTTGGTGTATATGCGCGCAAACAGAACTCTACAGCGCGAAATTGACCCGTAATCGTGCACAGTAGACCTTCAACGCGCATCTTCTAACCCTGGCCTCATTTATCTATCTATCTATCCACAGACATTATTATTATGTGTATATATATATATATGTAATAGCTGAAGAGTCCGGCGTTTTTTTAAAACGAATATTAAAAGAAAAAATTTAAATTAATTTTCAAAGATTTTTTTGAATTTTAGCCTATGTTACCCCCACACTGTACATTCCAGTTCGTATCATCGTATCATGTACCGGGCCGAATTTCAACTAGCCAGAGCAAGCTGTACAGTAAAAATACAGACAATATGAGGCAAAACGGGACTGTACGCCAAACGAATGACTCCCTCCTACTGACATAAATGTGCCCAGGGTACCCTTGGCTTTCCTCAAAAAAAAATTCCGCCAATTCGGTCCAGCCGTTTAACGAGCGCTTTATATGTACAGGGTGAGTAAAAAAGTTTGCAGGATTCATGTTTTAGGTTCAGAAATATTGAAATAAATTACTTAAGCAAGTGCAAAAATACTCTTAAGAATTCGATAGAAAATTCTATTCTTTCCCAATTTTAAAAAATCTTTTGAAAAAAATGATATATAACTGAAAAAAGACCCGCAAATATTCACCAAATCTTTCTCGTGTATAAATCATCTAACATTTTCTGCATTTGCTAGATTTGTAAAGTTTTGGTGCAAATTTATAGAGATTATTTTCGCAGGCTTTTTTTCACATAGTTTCTTAATTAATGGATATGCACCCTAAAATTTGTCAATCTAAAACTTTTGCCCTCACACACCCTTACACTAACAAGGCAACATAAATTTCTTATTATCTTGTTACGCTTGTTACTTCCGTTTTTGGTAAATAATGTGGTTTCTAAGGTTAGTGCTACAGTGTACATGTAGAACGTCTGCATACTCCCAAGAAACATTTCACTACGCCATACAAATTGTCGAACTTTGTCGACAGTTCCGATTGTTTCCTACTCTACTTCGATGTCGAACCTCCTCTCAATGTCCGATAAAGTCATTTCGGAAAATGTATGTACATCAAGTGTCGCCATATCAGAAATTGTATGTACTGTATGAACTCCAGTGTACTGTAAGAACTCCAGTGTACTGTAAGAACTCCAGTGTACCGTAAGAACTCCAGTGTACTGTAAGAACTCCAGTGTACTGTAAGAACTCTAGTGTGCTGTAAGAACTCCAGTGTACTGTAAGAACTCCAGCGTATTGTAAGAACTTCAGTGTACTGTAAGAACTCCAGTGTATTGTCGGAACTCCAGTGCTCTGCAAGAACTCCAGTGTACTGTAAGAACTCCAGTGTATTGTAAGAACTCCAGTGTACTGTAAGAACTCCAGTGTACTGTAAGATCTCCAGTGTACTGTAAGAACTCCAGTGTTCTGTAAGAACTCCAGTGTACTGTAAGAACTCCAGTGTACTGTAAGAACTCCAGTGTACTGTAAGAACCCCAGTGTACTGTAAGAACTCCAGTGTACTGTAAGAACTCCAGTGTACTGTTACACTGTAAGAACTGCCCACTGCCCAGCCCATAACACCTCCCTCCTGGGATCCACCCCCTGTTACCTTGCCCCTACTCCTTCCCTACCCCTACTCATTTCCTCACCATGCTCATTCCCCTTTCCCCTTCCCCTACNCCCTACCTCCCCCCCTTCCCCTTACCCTACCTCCCCCCTACCCTCAAGCAAGATCTTCCCACATCTCCCACACGTGTTTAACACATAAAGCTCATCTTTAAGTTGAGAAAAAACGCGGCAAAAAGCGCAACTTTTTAGTTGGTTGGCCCAGCTGTTAAACCATAATTTATACGCTTGTTTTATTCATTTCAAAACTGTTTTATTGGTACTTAGGTTTTGCCCATATATTTATCTATCTATCTATCCATAGGCATCTTCCATCCATTTAACATGTATCTATTCATCTTTTCCATATACATCTATATTCACTATTCTATATACATTTATATTCATCCATTCTATATATATCTATATTTAACTATTCTATATACATCTATTTATCTAATCCATATACATCTATATTCATCTATTCTATATACATCTATTCATTCATTTATATACATCTATTCATCCATTCTATATACATCTATTCATTCATTCCATACGTATTTATACATCCATCCTATATGTATCTATTCATCCATTCCATATGTATCTATTAATCCATTCCATATACATATATTCATCCATTCCATATGTATCTGTTCATCCAATCCATATACATCTATTCATCTACTCCATATGTATCTATTTATCTATTTAAGATTTAAGTTTGAATATTATTTTAACTTTTTGAGAGTTTAAGACATTTATGATGAAAGATTTAAAAATCTTAAGATAAGAGTTTGTGTGTTTCTCTTCCACCTTGAGCTTAGTCTCATTCATCATTTTTATTTGAATAATATTCAAGTATTANCAAGTTTTCAATCTTAATTATTAAAGGGACTGTCAACGTAATTTCAAGTTTTCAATCTTAATTATTAAAGGGACAGTCAACGTAATTTCAAGTTTTCAATCTTAATTATTAAAGGGACTGTCAACGTAATTTCAAGTTTTCAATCTTAATTATTAAAGGGACAGTCAACGTAATTTCAAGTTTTCAATCTTAATTATTAAAGGGACTGTCAACGTAATTTCAAGTTTTCAATCTTTATTATTAAAGGGACTGTCAACGTAATTTCAAGTTTTCAATCTTAATTATTAAAGGGACTGTCAGCGTAATTTCAAGTGACCCTTTATGCAAAGATACTGTATAGCCATTCCTCACACACAACAAAACCCTGAAACATTTATCTGATAAAAAAGTCACTTTGGCAGAGAAACCGGAAACGGAAATGAACAGATTTAAAAAACAAAAACATGAAATTCTAATGTGTTCTTGAGGGTACCATTGTAAATCGGGCATTGTCATAAGGTTCTTGTTCACTCTAGCCTTGATTCAATAAAGTTTTTTTTTTCATAATCTTAAATCAGTTTTTATCAGTAGTTCATGGTCAGTTGATTTCAGGAACACAGGCTTTTTTCTTCATAATTTAAAATTTAATTCATTCATTTATGTCTTTCAGTTGCGGATACTCGTTACACAGGGTGTACCAAAAAAAGTTCATTAGAAAAGGAAAAATCCAAAAGACCTTAGGAAAACTTTGATTTAAGGCCTTTACCAAAATTATTTTTTTCTACAGTGAGATATACAGTGAGATATACAGTGAGATATACAATGAGATATACAGTGAGATATACAGTGAGATATACAGTGAGATATACAGTGAGATATGAGATAACACTAAAATTTTTCTGGGAATTGGAGAGGTGGCTCAACTACCCACAACACCGGTTCAAATCCTGAACCATTGATTCAAATCCTCATAAATCTATCCGTGTTTTTAAAGTTGAAAATCTGGGAATTGTGGCTGGTTAATCAAAACATTTGATAGAGTCGGACCTAAATATGTTCTCAATATATTTGGTACACCCTGCATAGAGTCGGACCTAAATATGTTCTCAATATTTTTGGTCCACCCTGCATAGAGTCGGACCTAAATATGTTCTCAATATTTTTGGTCCACCCTGCATAGAGTCGGACCTAAATATGTTCCCACACCCTGCATAGAGTCGGACCTAAATATGTTCTCAATATTTTTGGTCCACCCTGCATAGAGTCGGACCTAAATATGTTCCCAATATATTTGGTACACCCTGCATAGAGTCGGACCTAAATATGTTCTCAATATTTTTGGTCCACCCTGCATCGTGAATGTCACGGATTGTAGGACAGCATATGTGCACTGCGCATGTCTAGCTGCATGACAAATTTCTGCATTGTAATGTATACCCTTGTATCCCCTTGTATCCCCCCCCTGAATATAACTCAAAAATAGACATGGGCATCATTATTTGGTTCGTTTTGGAAGAAATTGTAAATGGTATTTCAAGTAATCAGTCAATTAACAAGTTGAAAAATCTCAAATTTTTTCAATTTTATCCCTTCACTCTGCTGTAAATATTAGCAAGTGACTTTACAGAGAAATCACACTTGAAAGATGTAAATTTTAAGAGGGATAAATATGAATTCTTCATCATTCTCTTTCTGATTACAAATTTAGCATTTAACGCTTAAAAGCTTTCAGCATTTAATGTCTTCTGACTTTTATAAGCCTCCTAACTATTATGAATTAATTTTATGAGCCTTCATTCAAAATAACGAATAGGTTTATTTCAAATTCGTAAATTTAAAAAAATTTGTTAGATATTTCGAAATGTCAATGGCTCATAATTTTAAAAATAATTTTTTTTATTAAGGTTTCTTTAGCAGTGCCCATCTCTGTACATAAATAAATTCCGATTGAAAACTCATGCCTCGGTCATTAATTTGAAGTGTGCACATTCGTTTGTTGACGTAGCAATGTTTGCTGGTAGGCGATTTTATCAATATAATGAAGACGACTTTCGAGTTTAATTTTGATTTATATAAAGCTTTTAAACAGCATGGATACACAAAAATATGGAAACGGAGTAAAGCTGTCAATTAAAAAACTTATTTAAATTGCTTGTAAAATTGCAATTCGACAATAGCTTGTTAACAATTTAAACTTAAATAAAAAGTCGTCTTCATTATATTGCTGTAATCGCCTACCACCGCAAGACAATTGTAACCCTTTTAACATTCAAAGAACTGACTTGAATTTTAGAACAGCCGTATGTAAATAAACATAATGAGCCGCCGTAGATCATTTAAGCTAAGTTATAACTTACGACTAAAGAGCCTCTGTTTTAAGATAATTAAAAAATATATTCAACTATCGGAGAGTGACAGCGTTGCTAGTTTTAAGTTTACACAATTTATTGGTCAGACATTGTAAAACATTTAGTTATGTCCATAAACCTTTCCCAGAGACATATACAGGGTGTCCCGCGAAACATGGCAGTTGGTAGTTTTGAATGTCTTCCTCCATATACTGTATTAGATATCAAAAATCTTTTGCTCTGAAATTCTTTGAAATTAATTTTACTACAATATGACTCCCGTGCAATATTTCTATTATTCTCCTTGGTATCAAACAACTTCACAAATATATGAAGAAGCGTTTTATCTATTCACCAACTGTCATGTTTCGTGGGACACCCTGTAGTTTAAAACTTCTATGTGAGAGAAATCTGAAGTAAATAAATTATCCTGAGATACTTTTCACATTACTTTAGGAATAATG